TAAGCGAATTTAAAAGTACCTGTAAAATACGTCATCATAACTTTTAAAGTATTTTTATGCTACAAAATCTAAACATCACAATTTTAGCAGAACTTACAGTTTAAAAGACAAGAAAAGGACACTAGTCGTTGGTCATTGACTTTTTTAGATTTGGTGGTTCTGAAAAGAATCGGTGTGGCTCTGAAAAGAGCTGTTGTGGTGGTTTCTTGTACGCCCTCTGTCAAATGAAAAAGGAATACTGCTTTTAGAATACTAATGACCTTCCATAGAAAGTAACCAACGGAAATTTGCATATGTGCTTAACGGCACGTGCTCGATAACATGCGGGGCGCTTTCCATTTGACCAAAATTTTCGAGATTCCCGGTCTGAAATCGAATGGAGCGGGATAAGTTCAAGGATAACTTTTCGAAAATTTAGGAATACGTTGTGGTTGTGCCCTCTTGGTTGTGGTCGGACGCGTTCCGTTGGACGAGCGAAAATTTCAACATTTTGAATCGGTGATTTTTGTTGAATGGAAACGAAACAGGAGTTCGAATCTCCCTGTGCCGTGAATACACGGCATTCTAGAAATATTTCGTACTCTTAGATTATGCTGAAAGATTTTAGTGCGTGTAAATGAAGTTATCTATCTATCTATCTATCTATCTATCTATCTATCTATCTATCTATCTATCTATCTATATATCTATGCCGGAAGGTAAATGGCACTCTTTAAGTCACCTCCGAGCTGGCCAATCAGCGCACGAAAATCAGTGGTAAGGCCGAGCGAACTGGAAATAGTCGTAACCAATCTTTATCCGTTTTGATCAAATATGGCGGACGCTTTGGGTGACGAATGGTGGTTGGATGAAAAAGACATCGAAGACACCGGTAAATTCCCTGCTTTGTAACTTATCTTGCCCTATTGAGAAAATCGTGATTATTAATTCCCTTTACTTGTACTTTACTTAGAGATTGAAACAAAACGGGAAAATAAACGGCGAAAAGATGAGGATGGCGAGGATAATTCGAAGAACAACGGCAATAAACAAGTGAGTAAAGATTTTGCCAAACTATCTTTGTAGCCATGTATTTGGCGATCTCTTTAGTCTCTGTAGTCATCCTCTGCTTAAATAAAGGCGAGCATGCCAAAAGTACAGGGTGGGACAGGACTACAGAAAGTTGCTCGGTCTATCTTTCCCACTAACCGGAAGAAAATAGGTCTTATCTCATTGAATTTGATGTAGTCTTCAATCTTTCCCGAAATCTTGTGATATTTCTTGTAGATGAACCTCAGTGACGTTGGTCCAAATGAACCAAAAGCAAAGAAAAGAAGGAAAAAACCTATGGTACTACTTCTTTGTTACTAAAAGATACTTGTACAAGCACGATCTCTTTGAAGACATGCAGTACACGGTGGTATTCTCTTGGAATGAAGATAGAGACTGGTTAAAGTAGGTGTTCCCTTGGAGGCCACATTTAGAAGCTTCTTCCAGCTGTAGATTATTAACCTACCCTCTTTTTGCAACATATGGTTTAGTGTAGCTTTTAGTGGTGTACTAACAAAACTTCAATTGTGTTAAACTTGGAATAACATTGAAAACCCTCACACTTAGATATAATGCCCTACAGATGCAAATCTGGAGATGCAACATACTTATCAAATATTAATGTACTTTTTGGGAGAATATCCATGCCACTCTGATCACTTGTTTTAATGGTTGTAACATTTGAATTCTGTTACATTTAACAGATTGAAAGTATAACAACAAAACTTCACGGCCCAGATGCACCAAATATATTGTGGTCAAGTTTCTGTGACTGTACCGCAGGATCATTGTCAACACTAGAACTTGAGGATGTGAGCATTGATGGTAAGAAAGGTTTATTTACAGCACTATGGAAAACAAAGTGTAACTTGGAAGCTTGTACCTTTTTTAGACCAATACGCACAATTATCTTGGCACGCTATTAAGCATCAGAACAGCATGAAGCAAAAATATAGACTTCCTTTGTCATACCTGCCCCCCTGCCCCTTACTGACACAAAGCTTACCAATTTAAAGAAATGAGATATCTAGTGAGGATCGCTCTTGATCCCCCCTTTTTTTGTGTGTACCAGAACATAATTAACTGAGAGTGGAGGCTCACTGTCCAGTTATTTCAGAGCAAAGCCTAAACATACTTCTAGAGGGGCCAAGAACTCATCGCCTTGATTTTAAATAAAACAGTGACTTTGGAATTTCTGAAATTAAAAATCTCTTAGATTTGTTTTACTGTTCAATTTTATATTTTTAGATTCCTGTTGTTTGGTGGATGATTCTATTCATAGTGGATGTTTAGATGAACTCCTTTCTTATTTGAAAAACAGTGAGTGTCATTACCATTTATGCTATGCTTGTAGAGTGTACTTGTCTATTGAACTAATATTCATTTGTAAACACAATTTGATAACAAAGAATACTCCATGGAACATAATCAGTTACCTGTGCTTGAACAAAAACCGCCTCCCGGTTAGCTCAATGAATAGAGCGCAGGACTGCTGTGTGGGAGGTCGAGGGTTCAAGCCCCGACCGGACCAACACTCAAGGTCTCAAAATAATTGAGAAGAATTTGCTACCTTTCTATAACATCAAGAAATGGTTAGATATTCTAGTATTCTAGGATAGGGACGAGTAAATCTTGCATCTTGTGCTCTATTAGACCCTCTGCTGAGTTGATCTTCAGTGATGTCTTGAAGAACTGGCTCGACCTCGACATCGGTACACACTATACTCAAAAGGTCGGCCTCGAGGTCTCTTGACTCATTATGCCGTTGGATAACGAAGCCCCCTCGTTTTCAAATCATTGCGTGGTCTACTGTGAAGTTTTCCCCAGGCGTACACACTGATGGAATGTCATAGAACGGCCAATCATAGCGTAATTTAACAGCATCGCGAAACTCTCTTAATAATAATAATAATAATAATAATAATAATAAAATATTTATATAGCGCACAATCCACTATTTTTCCATGGCGCTTTACACCAATAAGTTAAAAATCATCTAAAAATTAAAAGAGTTTAAAAGCTTGTTTAAAAGATATGTTTTTAAATGTCATTTAAAAATGTCTATCGAACTACTGGATCTTAGCTCAAGTGGGATCGAGTTTCCTAGTCTCGGTGCTGCCACAGCAATTGAGGAGAATTTGCTACCTTTCTATAATGTCAAGAAATGGATAGGTATTCTAGTCTTCTCGGATAAGGACGAATAAACCGTAGGCTCCGCCTCCTGCAGGGTTAGGGGTAGGAGACGTTAATTTCCCACGCACGAGATTACTGTGTGGTGGATATCCTTCCCTGGGGTGGGATGGGTGGGTTTGTTTCACAGGGCCCCATTGAAACCAGCAATTTGCTGAACTGGGCTACCCTGTCTAAATACTCGTAAATATATAAATATAAAGTGCTTATGGCCCAGTGTACCAAAATAAAAATCCACATGCTCCAAAGAGGAGTTAAAGGTGTAACATTTCAGTCAGTTCTTTGGATGCTTCACCACTGGTCTTCTTTCATTGATTGTATCTGTTGCAGTTATTCCTCAGTGGACAAGAGATGTGGATAAACTAAACAAGAAAGGTGATCGTGGCTCACCCTTGCTTCTCTTTGTTTCATCAGCTGCTACAAGAGTCGTGGAACTTAACAGGTCAGTGAGACGTTTATTTTGTGTAGTCAAAATGAACATGATTTCCAATATAAGAAAAGTAAGTTACTCTTGAATTTAAAGGTGTGTCGCGTAATTTGTGTGCCGAGGGAAAAGAGGGAGGAAAGGGAAGTGGTGGGTTGGGGGATCAGGCCATTATCCCAGGGGTAAACGGAATGAGAGGCATAGAGCTCCCAAGAGATAAACGTAGTTGGTGAATTACCTGAACACATAAAATTCTTGTTTCTTTCCACAGGGCAGCAACAGATTTCAAAGGAAAGTGCAAAACGGTCAAATTATTCGCCAAACACATGAAGGTAGAATAATTAATATATTAAAGGCAAGCTCCCTTGGTTATTAGGTTAAGAAATTAAATCGGTTGGGTCATGAAGCCATTTTCGATTAAAAGTAATGAGATTGAGAAAAATATTTTGGAGGGAAGCATCCGATTTTCTAACGCTTTCAAAAAACCCATCGCGCGATTTGACATTATGGTGATGTGACCGTTTATCGTCGATCTTTATTCGTTCGCACTCAGTGAACGAGGTAAAATGTCACGTTGCCTGAAATCTGGCATCGAAATTGTCTTTTTCGTCCTTGAAACTCGTTAACGCTTTTATATCTTCATCGTTCATTCCAGTTAGAATTCATCTTTACAGATTTCAGAGCAGGAGCAGTTTCTGGAGTCCCAGGTGGTTCACCTTGGCATTGGGACACCAAGTCGAATTTTAAAGCTGATACAGAATGGTGAGCGGCCTCTGTTTATAAAACAGTAGACTCCAAATCGCCTCTTTGCTAAGCTCGCCAGTGTCCAAGCCCTTGATATTAGCGATTTTGCGGGAGCGTTTCTTTGTTTTTTCGGGAAAGTATGAGGCCTAGAGCAACGCAATCCCCTTCAAACCTATCCCTGACTCATCTCCAATCTCCCTGCGGCCGGAAAAACGCGCGTCCTGCAGCGCTGATAATGAGGGCCCGGGTCTGGGCCTGCTCGCTGGCTACATTTGCGAAGCAATAGTGCTAATTCGTCTTAGTATTTGAAAATACTTTGAGTTGTTTACCATAACCCAAATTTGTATCTCTCCAATCAAAAGCCCCAGTAGCTCAGTTGAAAGTAGACTGAACCAATCTGCGAGGTACTGGTTCGAACTCCTTCGAAGCCTCAACTGTTTTCAGACTCCGGTCCTTTTTCTTTAATTTCTTTCATTGCAGTTCACTTACGAGGATCATTTTTTGATTGAAGATTTCTTTTGTTCACTCTTTCAGATTCATTAAAAACTAAAAGATTAAAATATGTAATTCTTGACTGGACATGGAGAGATCAAAAACTGCGGAGAATGGTAGATATCCCAGAGGTACGTACTTGATGTCAGCGGTAATAAACCTCAGGTTACTGAGTCAGAAAACGTGTGGGATAGGTAAACGTTAGTATGTTCGTAAGACAATCGCATACAAACGGCCGACTCCAAAAAGTCTAATTTTTCGATTATGTGTTAAATCAGCCCTGGGATTACTTTACGCGACTTGTTAGTTGCCTTTCTGAAGTTATCTTTTCTAATTTCATTTGTAGGTTAGAGGAGAACTCATTTCTTTGTTGAAAGATTTTATTTTTCCTCTTGCAAAAGCTTCAAAGCTCAAGATTGGATTATTTTAATGCTGAAACATGCTCTTTTGACAGAGTGGTCAATGTACGCAGCTTGCTGGCTTAAAAATGCAGTTCCAAATTGCTTTGATCAAGGATACAACTGTAGCCTCAGGAACGGATGTAATAATATTTTGACGATGCACTAAAAAGAGCCGTTATTTAAACAGGTTTTTGACTATTCAAGAGCTGTTTTCATTATCAATCTTACAAGTCACTTTAAACACTTTACGCGACTACAGCCTCTCTGTGGCGGTCTTTCTTTTTTTCCAATCCCTTCCCTCCCCCCCCCCTTTTATTTTTGTAATTTGTATCTAAGGACGGAAAACTGTCACTGTGACGCCTAGGTTCTCGCACTTTTTGTGAGGACTTTGACTGGGACGATCTAGCTTTTGCTGGATCGTAAGCGTCAGGCGGAATTGGAATAAGATGTAAACATCTTGATTTTTGGGACTCCGATTCTGCTAAGGTTGACCCTGATTTCGATTTAGTAATTGCTCTTATGACCGCGACTCCAATGCTGGGGAAAACCGGCTTCAAGCAATTGGAATCACTGAAGAAATGACGTTACTGTGCCGCTGCCTTGCATTCAAAACCATCGATTACAGCTAACACACTTTATTAGAATCTGTAGATTTATCCCATACTTTCTTCCAACACAGCTTCATCTGTCGCTCCCCACTTATTCTATTCAACTGCGGAATACGTCTTATTCTCAAAACCAGGTCAGTTTACAACACTCCTAGAACATTAGAACTCTCGTAAGATCATCTGAGAAAGGGTGTTTGTTCACATTTGGCCTTAGTGTGACCCAAGCTTCTGTCTCCAAGTCTTTTGCTTTCTGTTTAGACCCAAGTAAGGCCTGTCCCTCCTTTATGTATGCCAACTGTTCCTGTTGTAGCTCTTTCGTTTTCTCAGATATTAAATTCCTCAGAGATTCTTTCAGCGCATTCAACTGACATTCTGCGAGTTTTCCCAGTTCATCACTTGTGAATTTCGTTTCTGTCTCCTGCTGGAACAAGGCCGCAAAGAGTTTGCGCAGAAAAGCGAACGGACTGATCGCGCGATTGGACTTCACATTAAAACGCTTTAACTTCACCTCAATATTTCGCTCTGTTAATAAATACTCCCGAATTCTGTGGTAAAGAGTTTGCCTTTGCGTCTTCCTTAATTTGTTTTCGCAATTCCTGCACGTAGCACTTTGATTTCTTTGTGGAGAGCGAATCTCTACGACGTACCTTGTTTCCGTAGAGTCTTCAAGCTCACTTCCTGTTATGCCATTGTAAGCGACGGTTTGGTTCTTTACATCAACACGCACGGAATCTGTCATGGTTTGCTTTTTTTCCTGTTACTAAAATAGCATCTTTCTTTAAACAAAATATGCGTCATAAATGGAACAAACGCGTGAAGCGCGCACGCGCAGAGCACTGTTCGTACCGTGAATTAGCCTGTGACGAGAGCGTGCTCGTAGATCAACTACGAATTCTTTTATTAGACTCAGAGTTTAAACAATCGTTTGTCCATTACGGAGCAGTTCAGGTGAAAACGGCAAAGTCTGGCAATTTCATTCCGCTGAACGGTTGATCTCATTACTGAGTGGTGAAAATTTGAACGTGGATTTTATCAAACTTAGAAAAATAAATCGAAACAGTTCTCGGCGAAGCGAGGCCTCAGATTGTTTGATACTCCGATTTGAAAGGAAAAAAAATTAACACAAGTACGACAGCTCGTTATTTGACAGTTAGTCTCTTTTTAATGAAACAAAAGTTCGTTGGGTGTCATAACAGCTACGGACGAAAAAATGTACAGTACAAAAATGTGTTGGTGGAGTTATTATACATTAAACCAATGACGAGATAGAACGGATTTTTATCTGACTCTGTCCCACCTCCATAGCGTACCGTCATCACAAACAGATATTAGAATCCTGAAAAGAAAGACATCGGAAGAAGATTTGATTTGCGACGAATTCCAAAAGATACTGATATGTTAAGGACCACTCTGTGGATATTTCATTGCAGACTTACTTGCCGTCCTTACTGAATCCCGTTTGTCTGATGGCTGATACACACTTGTTGTGCACAAGAGTTGTGGATCTATAAAAGAACAATCAGCTTATGTAAATAAGTCACACCCGTGAAGTTTGTAGAGTTTACTATAAAGTAGGTTTCAAAAGATCACGTGGTTGCTTGTCATGCGCGTAAACCCCGTTGCAGTATTTCCGGGCTTTGCAACAGTCCGTGATGTGCTCTAGGGTTTTATACGGTCTTATTCTCAGTATATACCGAATCGAAATATGGCGTCCAATTTGAATTGCCGTTGTTCTGGACTCACTAGCCTCGTCTTCACGTGGAAACACAAAAGGATTATTACTTGCGTGAGAGGCTAGTGAGTCCAGAACGATGGCAATGCAAACTGGACGCCATATTTCGATTCGGTGTATAAGGCAGCCATATTGCAGGACAACTACAACAGTTAAAACAAATTTCAATAACAGCCAAGGATGCAGAACTCAAACAGAAAGATTTCAACTTGAATTAAAAGTTACCCTAACAATTTACATTACCTAGCTTTTGTTGGATCGTCAACGCCAATGTCCCAAACAAATGTCTTCCCTGTTTGATTCCCGACTGCCATTAGCTGGAATGCAATGGAAATCGTAATAAAGGTTATGACGTCGTCAACTTTTGTGCTCTCAGATACGGTTGCAAAGCGTCTTAGCTTTAATGTGTGCATTCCTTTTTCAAGACCTTAAAGAAGCGAGTTAACCGCGTATTAATACTTCAATACCTAACGGTAACCAGCATCTCGTATCACCCAACAGTATTACTTCTGAATCAAACAGTCAGGTCCTGAGAATATTGGAGATGATTCCCTAACTAGACAAACTCTTTCTTTCACTCAAATTCTCCTCGTCAGTATATAAGGAATACATAGACAACAGTATGGAGAATACGTATTCTGTTGTCGGGTAGAGACGATTAAGGCAAGCGACTGCTTCCGTTTTTTTCTTTCTTGGTCTCCCGTGTAAAGATAAAGCTTTCTTCACCTCATCTGCTAGTTCTTGGTTAACACATTGCACAGTGTTTAGACACATTTCAATGTTAATTTAAAGTTGTTGGGTCCAAAAACTGGAGGCGTCACTATGTGACTTGAAACGACTTTAATGTACCAGGGGAGGTCGCGCACCGTGAGATAGATGTCTTTTCCGAATAAACATCACTGATACTATAGTCAGAGCTCAAATACCACGCTCTCTATCCAGACTCCCATGTGCTAAACGTTGGATTGGCTGCGCCACTAAAACATTCTGAAAACAAATTCTTACCCTCTGTTCGTAATCTAAAGAGAATCTCATGTACCAGATATCACACTGGGAAAACTCAAACCTGTAGAAAAAAATCAGCATTTAAGGATGTGTAATGTTACAACATAAAAGAGAACTGGATTACGGAAAAATTCTTTCTCGTGGAAACATTACATTTTACTCACCGGTGAAGTACCGTTACAACCCGATCAGAATTGAAAGGCTGTAAAAGAGAATGGAACAATAATTAGTAACCTGACGTCGCGATGGTTTTTGGCTCGTTCCACTAGAAACGAAAACTTAACTAGAAGGGATTGATGGGAGCTCCTTATAAACCAAACCGCTCAGAATATCAAAGGGAAAATGACAACTCTGAGGTACATCCTCTCTGTCGTGAAATAAATACATTTGATATTTCTTACCCCATTAAAAATGTCTTCAAATCGCTCTTGTGGTTTCCAGCACACGATGCAGTTTTCACAGGACTGGAAATAAAAAAAAATTGAATTAGCAACTGATGTTTGGATTCACAACTGTATACGTTTAGCTACATTTGAAAGGTAAATTCAAAGATCCTGGAATCATAGACAAAACTGTTGTGACAACTGCTGCATTTTTTTTTTCAAATGAATCTACCTTTCCTGCCTCCCCCCCCCCACCCTTACATGTTTTTTCCACCTCGAAACTCAAAATTTGAAGTAAGAGGACGAGCTAAAATTACAGTCAGTTAACAAGGCCTTTTTTACGTCTCCATCTATACTTATTATGAATACATTATACAAGAAAGACCTTGCAAGGCATCTCTGGAATAACTAAAACAAGATTCTGATTAAAATATTAAGATTGGCACCCAATAAGTTCCCCCCACTTTCCCCCCACCTCCCCCCTCCCACTTTCCCTTATGAAAGCTTGACTGTCCCACAGTCATAAAAGCAACTTACCTTAGACAAGATAAGGTCACCAAAGAAGCGAACACTGTCTACATAGTTTCTATGAATGTCCCTGGTGGTGAAGTCAGGATAGTGCAGCTTGACAGTGTGAAAAGCTCTGCAATAAATAAGACAACAGATCACTTGTAGTTAGCACCAAAGTGTATATGATTGGTTGGTTCATAACACAACCAGTATTGGGAAAAAGTTTTAATGACCATGTGAACCCAAAGAAGAAACAAACAGGAAAGGTGGGAGGGGAAAACACAGCTTTGCAGAGCCAGCCCTTTACTAACCAGTACTGTCAAATGCTCTGTACTGAAGTACAGCTGACCAGTGTACTGGCCAATGCTCTGTACTGAAGTACAGCTGACCAGTACTGGCCAATGCTCTGTACTGAAGTACAGCTGACCAGTACTGACAGATGTTCTTTCCTGGGTGATGCTATGGAGCCACCGTCTCTGTGTTTGGTGACAAGAAACAAGAGACAAGAAATCACAGTGACTTTGACTTTGGCCTTGGCCTGAATCCAGCTGCATGATCCCGGAGATACACTTAAGGATATTACGCATTAAATAACAAGCAGTAGTACTGGGTACTCAACTCAAGCCAGATAAGTTTTAGAGTCTGACAACCCCGTAAATGGCCGCCTTTGCAGGTATTGTCTAGTTTATGGCCAAAAATGGGTGTGGAGGAGGGTTAATGATAGGGATTTGTTGAGCAGTGTATTTCACAGTCCTCTTTTAGGTTTTAAAATACTCACTTCTCAGTTTTGCTTTGATCATATAAATGAGACTCTGCAATAGCCTAAAATAGAAAAGGGGGCAAAACAAGGAGAAAGTATTCGCTACTTTTACATGATAAAAGGTAAGTTTGATTAAAAACATAACAGAGCTTATCCAATTTTAATTCATGTATCCCTCAAAGACCTCAGCAATTTGCCAAACTCAATATTGGACATTACAAATAATCACTGTCTCTACAACTTTACATCAGACTCTGTTT